ATAGAAAATCTTTTAATCATATCTAATTTGCTATAGCAGTTTGATATAGTCAGACGTTCAGTTTCATTAAGATAAATGAGTATGCAGAACTAGGAAATAATTGGTTATCAGCACAACAAATTTTGCTATTTCATGGACCTTGAAATTATGTTTTTTACGCCTGATTTTCTTGAACTGAATTCCTTGACTGCCTGATTTTCTATGCGAATTAGTACTGTAGTTGTAGTTATCTTGTTTTTCTTATCTTTTTTTCAACTAAATTCAGCTGGATTGCTGTCTTTTTCAGCACGCAGATTTCTCGCTATAATGTTAATTCAGAAATAAGTATTTTTTAGCAAAACGTTCTTTCCCTATTAGCGAGCGTTCATCGCTACTTCTGCCGCCATTAATTTTTAGTGACTGAACCTGATTGCTCCTTTTTTACCACGTGACCCCAACGCATCCGCAAACATAGGGGTAGAAGTTGAACATTGTTGAACTCCATCCGTATGTCATCCGTCACCGCACACCGAACGGATTGCAGATGTCAATCAAAGTGAATTCGCTCGCTGATTGGAGAAACGCATACGCACCGCAATGCATACGCAGCAGTGGAAACGGGCCTTTAGGCAGTTCGTGTACGTAGAATCCGTTATGGATCTAACAGTTTAATGCGCATGCATGGTTAATGGTGGTGCGAATAGCTTGAGTGGCTAATCGCACCGCTGGTGCGAATAGCATCAGCCGTGTTGATGTGTACATCTATTGATGTAGTTAGTTCAGTTCAGTTCAATTCAGCATCAACTGTCTGAAATGATTTTAGAAATGGATGTAGAACTCCTGCAACAGAAATGAAAGAAGACATTTTTACCAAACGAAGCTTATTTTTAACAGCTTCTTTCAGCTGACACAGTCTTCGGAAGTTCGGATGGCTGTATATATTTTTTCGCACCCGGAAAACAACCAATAACTCTCTCAGCAAGTTATGTTTTCTTCACAAAATTATACTGTATTATAATACCATCTTTACTTCACAAAATTATAGCAAAAAAGTGGTACAATTAGTGATGCAATATAATCTGCTTGTTGAGCAGGGCTATCTTTAAATACTCTACACATCTTTGTCTTTCAGTAATGTACTTAGATTCCAGTCAATAGCTCTATACCCAGCTTTAAAAGCCCTGTGAATGACATGCAAACCACAGGATCCAATATCTATAATACATGACAGTCATCATTACTTGCTAAATTTTCTTTTAAATCTCTGAGAAATTTAAGATTGACATTTGGTTCATCCAAGGATACTTGAAGCAATTTCTTTTTATCTAGTTTTGAGGTTCCATAAAAAATACTTTTCAGAAGGTAACATTTTCAATAACATGAGGAATATTGTGTTCACTTCATTCTCACATTGCCCCAGAATCTAACAAAAAGGTCCATTTGACCTCTCTGGACAATTCTGCTTAAAGCTTCATTGAAGCATGTTACGAATTTGGTGTTCTTAAGATCAGAAATGAGCATCTTTTTGAAGTATGGAGTTAAACCAAACGGCACTAAATAAGGCAGTTTTTACATCCCAGGTTCATAGCTTTACTGTTGTCATCAAACAATTTCTGGAACAGGAATATTAAACACACTAAAAAGAAACATGTGAAGAAACAAGTTTCATAGCCCACAGTAATTCTGCAGCTGACACTTCGCCCTTAGTTATGAAGGAGTTTAAATTTGATGATTCAGCATCTGTGGCCGGAGACTACTGCACTTATGTTGCTGAAAAGCTTAACAATTCAATTTGATTTTTTTTTAATGCACAATAATATATTATCATATAGTATTCAGAAAGCATCAATAGATTTTTTTTTAAACTTTAAAAATGCATTGCATGAATTCTTATCATTTTAAAAAGCAAATACGATAGAATGTTAAGTAAACACACATTAAAAAAATTACTTAATAATGTATAAAAGGTTACAAAGTTTCACTTACCAATTTTTTAATTGGAGATGACAATAGAAAAAAAAGTTCTCTAAACCAAGCAGCAGAATTTGTTTTTCGTTCAACATGCAGAGAATTCTTCTTCAGAAGAACTGATTTTGGAGGTTATTGGAAACTTGCTTTACCTTTCTGAAAGACAATTTGATTGGTGCTGCGAAAATTGGCTCTACGCCAGATGTTGGAATGACACTCACGATCCTAGACCATAGGCCGCCCTCATTCAAATTAAAACTGGCTGAACTTTGTAATACTAATCTGGACCTCAAAGCTACAAACTTTCTGCGCATGCGTCGATGCGCGTAAGACCTTTACGGCTGCGAATATGCGTGTGCGCATGCGCAAAATACGTTTACGAATGCGCGTTTAATGTATAGCGGACGGTTTAAGCTAAGCTAAAATTATCTCAGTTAATGTTGCAGATTGCGATGTTCCTTAATCTTCGAATTGGATCTGGCTTATTACTTTTTGCAGACTGTTAGAGCAATTTTATAAAAGTAAGTTTGAACTTTTGATTATGTCAAATAGAATTTCTGATATATATTTACTAATATGTAAAGGATCTACAAAGCGAAAGTATGTTTCGAATACCATTAAACAAAAAGTGGAATTGCTGCAAAAAAATGGATAAAGGCATATCCTTTGTTTATCTAACCATTCCGAAATCTGTTTATCAATTTCACGCTGCTCTGTGGCAGGGGGTGGGGGAACGCCGCGGCGCGCAATGAATTGGAAGTTGATCTGTCAGCACTATCCTTATCTTCAGGGCAGATGTTTTTATTTTATTTGGCTTATAATTCCTTACTAAATGTAGTATTTCATCTCGATGTACTCCGTCTTTGATATGATTTAAATCAAATTCCTCGTCATTATAATTCGCTTCCGATATTGAAGAAAGTGACACAGAATTTATTGAAAACGAAAATATTTCGATTGACAAATTAGTCGGTATTCTCGACACAGCAATTATAGCACTTGATGAGCGGAACTTTGTAAATGAACAAGAAATTATGTCTGTTTATAGAATTAAAGAGAAAGTATTATCACATAAAAAACGAAGCAACTTACACAACTTACATTGAAAGAAATGTTTAATAAAGTATATAAATAAATATTAAGTTTTTTTTTGTAAATTTTGATACCCTTTAGATCATAATTGTTCTTTATTTCATAAATTACGGTTTCATATTTTTAATTTTATAATTTCTGCATGCCATCTTACCAGATTTAAACTGATGATCTATAATCCGGAATCGCCGAAGTCCCGACCAGTCCGGATTAACGACTTTTCACTGTATTTTGATATTTTGCCCCCCCCCCAAGTGCTACGCATCATCTTGCCCCATCCGTAAAGATTCGGCCCTGCTCACGTGATACATACAAAGTGATCTGCTTAAAACGTTGGCACAAAAATCGCTTTTTTTGGGATTTCCGCATGAAGTTCCCTGACATTTCGAGATTTTAGCTAAAATATTTAAATACCCTGATGGTTTGGTCAATTCTCAAATTCTCTGACTTTTCACGTTTTCCAGGTAGCGTGGCAAACTTGGTGATGTCAACTCCATTGGCTCTTGCAAACTATTCTAAATTTTCTTGTAGAATTAATTACAAAAAGAATATAAATACAGATTCTTTTTTACACATCTACATCTATTCTTTTAATTACTATCATGAAACATAAATTGCCTCAAATCAATGCAAAATGAGTTAATATTTTATTCTTCCACATAACATGTCAAAACAAATTTCTCTTAAGTCATAGATGCATGGTTGAAGCTGCTAGGTGTATTTCTTGAATTTATACTAGTGAAGTTAAAAATAGAGCTATCAGTAAAATATACAAAAATTCTGTATATGTGAAAATAAAATTAGGGTAAAATACAAGAGTTTAAATTAAAAAAATCTTGCTTTGGATAAAAAATGAATCCCATGCAAAATATTTTCCAACATTTGTGATAGTTTCCTACAGATGGACAAGGTCTTTCTACTGACTAGACCCACAGATCTTGAGCTTAGAACCCATATTTTATTAATCAGGCCTTGCAGACCAAAGAAATATAAAACAAGCTTTTATGATTTCATTAATTCTGAATACTGATAAAAATTGCACATTCAAATTTTATTACAAACCATCTAAGGATTTGAAAGGGTAGACTGGTGATGAAGTTATTTAAATTAAAATGAAACTGTTTGATATGCTAATCAAGTTAAAATATTATAGTAGTTTAGACAAAGTTCAACCTTAGACTGATACTGTAACATCTGCTATAAGAAAGAAAATTTAATGACAAAAATTTGATTAAAAAAAAATTATCTTACTGTAGTTCCTTCCCTATGGCCGGCAGCTTGCCTATTTGGCATTTTCCAGAGGATGTTTGACCTATCTGTCATTTAACCATTTTATCACCAATAACACTGGTCATTCTGCAATACAGGCAACAGATATGTACTGTGTTCAAAAGGGATGTGGAGAAACAACAAAAGCAACCAAGGTTTACACAGGAGCAGAACAGTGTTCAGCAGCATCAGCATGATAGCCAACTACTATTAACTACCATACAGGTCAGGGCATTGTTGTAAAGTTATTTCAGAAGAAATTATTGCAAATATTTATGTTTGATGGTGATTCAGCAGAATTCAAATATTGTCCAAATTCAGAGTACAATTCTAATAACCTTTTGTCTTTAAACTTTTGAAAATTTAGATCTTCATAAATTTTATTTTTCTATAAATATTAAGCCCTTTATTGACCTAGAATTAAAAGAATTTAACTGAAAATATTCTCAAAATATTCTCTAGGAAAAATGCTTATCATTACAAAAAAAAAAAAAAAAAAAAAAAAAAAAAAAAAAAAAAAAAGGGCATGTCTTTGTAAAACATGATGGAAAGGATTTCATTCACAGACACCATGTAATAATTAATATCAAATTTTATCAAAAAAGCATATGTTACATTCAAATTGCTAGTGTCAGAATGTATGTTTTAAGTATTTGGATTATTTTCAATTTTTACATGCTAAAAACAGAAAAGAAAAAGAAAATTATTCCATTTATTTTGAAATTTTTTTTTACAGAAATGTGCAAAACTTTATATACAAATGCTAGTAAGTCAAATATGTAAATCATATATACAACATAAATCAGATAGGCATTACTATGTCAACAGCAAGCAGTAAAATTTCTTCATATGTAAAAATTTAATTGCTATAATGTATTGAATTTCTTTAATACTCTGAGATACACTAATAGCTCACAATGAAAGTGTTAGAGTAGTATTACGAAGTTCATTTTATTTAAAAATAAATACAAATTTTCTTTAAAACAGTAACTTTTATAGAAAATTTTACAAACTCCTGAAAAGTGTCTTTTCACCTTTAACTTAACTAAGGTAGCACAATAAAGTTTATACAGTTTCTTTCAAGTCCAGTATTTGAAACTAGTGTGGGGTTAGGAATTAAGTTAGTCTGTTATTTATGTCTAAATATAAACACTTGAAATTTTAAATTCAAAAACTAAAAACAAAACAAGGAAAAAAAAATATTTAAAGCAGCCAGTGTTATTACAAGATTTTTTTTTCATAATTCATTAATTTAGATTAGTTTTTCTTTGATTAATCAATTTTCTGCTTAATTAGTTGATGTTATTAAAACAATTTTCTTTTCTAATGTTTTATTATTATCTATTCAAGTAATACTAGTGAAGTTAAAAATAGAGCTATCAGTAAAATATACAAAAATTCTGTATATGTGAAAATAAAATTAGGGTAAAATACAAGAGTTTAAATTAAAAAAATCTTGCTTTGGATAAAAAAATGAATCCCATGCAAAATATTTTCCAACATTTGTGATAGTTTCCTACAGATGGACAAGGTCTTTCTACTGACTAGACCCACAGATCTTGAGCTTAGAACCCATATTTTATTACACATTACATTGTCAGTAGGTATACTTTGATTTCATTTAATTATTTAAGTACTCACACTCAAGAGATTTTCAGATTTCTTTTTAACACTATTAAAAGTTACTAATATTACATAATACATTAGTAGTGTATAACTTAACAAAATGATAAGCAAAAATTTTTTGCCAGTTTTTCTAACTGCATAAATATACAAAAATTGTACATCCTAACTGAAAAACTTTGTTGTTGAAATATGCCGAAATAAGCAAATTATTTCAATTCATATGTATTTAATTTTATTCAAGTGTCTAAGAGCTAAAGATTAACATAATAACAGTTCAAGCCATTGAAATGAATGAGATAGAGAAAGTATCTTATTTTACAATTATTAGTACAACAGAGGGTGTTGAACAAAGATGGTTATAGGCTTATTTCCAAAAATACAAGTTCTAGACAAGTTCTTTGATTTACCAAAGTTCTCAAAATAAATGGGGAAATTTTTAGAATTGCTTCAATATTGGGGTAAGAATATTCCATAAACATAAGTTTTTCATAGTCCTTGAATAGAAGTCCAGTTATCATGCTTCACTAAGTTATGGGAAGGCTAGTTCATATTTTGTATACAAATTCGTGGAAGTACTCTTATGTGTGCTTGGAATCAGTTACAAATTAAAAAAAACTACAGCTGGTTTCACTTAATGTATCAACTTGTAATTGTTAAAGCAAGCAATTTTTGTTTTACAATTACTTCCTAAATTTTAAGAAATGTTTAATTTCAGTCAAAAATATCAAATGAAAAATGATGAGGAAAATAAATTTGTTCCCTTACAATTACACACTTACAAAGGAGTGAACTTTTCAATATTAATTGGTAAAGCATAATGAATACTTTATGGCCAGAATTTTTGTTTAATGGTGGCCATATAAAATGTTTAGATGTTATACCTAAGAATTTTTGCATTTATCATGTCGAAACTGTTTTATAAAATTATGGTTATACTTTGAGAAACTTAGTGACTAAACAGACATACCTTAAATCAATATTTAAGCAAATAAAGATTATAGCTACCTTTTCAGAATGCCTATGTAAGATAAATGAGAGATAATAATTCAGTTTTTCATATAATGACCTAGTAAAAATTATATGAGTCTGATATGTTTGTTAAAACATTTATATGCTGAAAAGTCACTCGAGTATTCTGAAATTTGGAAAAACGTAAATGGAGAATGCTGATATGATTTACAGATTAAGTTGACATGTGTTTCTGATGAACAGTAGTTGATGCTTTCAGATTAATTTTACTGGACAGGTGCTTAGGAAATGAGCAAAAATGCTCCAAAATATTTAAACAATAAAAGAAATAACTTAAAAAGTTATGTTTTGAAGTAACTTAAATCTGAAAATTTCACAAGCTTTAACTAGTAATGAAAGAACATCAACAGAATTTTAAAGATATGTAATTTGAGGAAGAAGTTCTATACCTCGATCTTTATAAATATCTCTCTTAACTTTCTTAAAACTCTCATGAAGAGTAGTCTTTTTGTTTGAAAATTTTCCTCCAGAATGTTTTCTGTGGCTGCTATTCTCACCAGCACACAGGGTTGTTCGAGATGAGTCACTCAGTTCTGTTTGCATTCGATCAAACGGAATGCTAGTTTTGCGATTTTGCCAAACCGAAGAGAATGAATGAACTCTGGAGCGATCATGAATAGTTAGTTCAAAAGTTCCAGTATCTTCCACTTCTACACTGGCTGTAGGCACATCAAGACTGGGTGAAATGAGCTCTGGATTACGAGCTAAAATTTCAACAATTGCTGCAGCTTGGGGTCGTTGATGTGGCGATCTAGCCCAGCATTGTAGTAGCAAATTAGACCTAAAAATAATACAATATTAATATTTTCCAAATATTATGAAAGAAAGCTTGCTTAAAGCCAAACGAAAGCTTTAAATATGTAAAATCTACCAGAAAGTAGAAACTTACAGTTCAGGCTTGCATCCTTTAGGAACAGGTAAAGTGTTATGATCTTTTACATGTTGTAATACTTGATCATTAGTTAAGCCTTGGTAAGGAAAACTTGCAAAAGTAATAATTTCATACAAAACCACTCCATAACTCCAAACATCAGACATTGGTGTAAATAAGCCATCTGTTAAACTTTCTGGAGCCATCCATCGTATGGGAAGCATACCTTTAAAGAAATAATTAATACTTTCTAAATAAAATTATACACATTTTATCAAAAATTTAACACTTTAACATCGTATTTGGATAATGAACAAAACAAAGATGAATGCAAAATTAAGAAAGAAAATTATTCTAATAAACAGTGTTTTAAGATATAATTAAATTATTAAGAAACTACATTTTTAATAGTTTTTGCAACTAAAATTACACTAGCTTATTTTACAATATCTCCATGCAAGCAGATGTATTTGCAAACATTTTATAAAAGTACAGCAGTCCCAAAATTATATGCATTTTTACTACCAGATAAGTAATGTATTCAGAAGCTTTCCCACCCCATTTGATGACAAGAATCATCTTTAACCCCTTTGCAACGACATGTTGTTGAGCTAAAATTCTCTGCAGATGCACGAGTCATATATGCATCAGTTCCAAATAACACTAGCAGTCGGGTGATGCACTGATGCATTGCCGCTTGCACTGGTCTTCCAGACGGGTGCAGCACATACGCACTTTCAAACATACACGTTCTTTTAGAATTTTTTAAAATCACTAGATGACGCTCTATGTCCACTACAGTTAGCTTATTTTAACTTATACATTGTTGACCTGTGTCCGTGAAGTACTTTCTGATTCTGGCAATTTGTTTAGATGTACGAGCAGATGATATAAAGTAAACAAATCCCAACTGATGGACAGTTGGCTTCAAGTGATGTAAATACTGAACAGCTTCAGAGACTTCAATTTTTTTTTTTCCTATGGGAATATTGGGAATAGAGCTGTGGTTTTAGGAACTCTGGTTTGTATTCAGTGTGCACTTTTTTTAGATAGCAGACGCGAGTTTTTTTGCACCGGGTCACAGAGTTAAACTAATAGTGCAATGTCTAAAAGAAAAAAGTTTTTAATGTAAGAAGAGTATATTCAAATTGAAAAGTGCAAATGAATGCCTACGAGTGTCCACTCGAGCCCATGCGTGACTATTTTGACTCTGAAAACTCTAGATTTAAGTGAGAATAGCGATTTTGTTACTGAAATTTTCTCAGAGACTGAATTGGAAGTTTATTTTGCTTTCACCTCACAGTCCAGCAGAACAGTGGTTATTCCATCATGAACTTGATCTGTTAAGTAATTGAAGCCTTATGAACTTATGGGAATTGCAGAAGTAAACTTAATTCAAAGCTATGTGAATGAAACTTATTTTTTTTCAATAATCTAATGAGCATAAGAGTTGAAGAAATGAATAATTTCTATGAACAAAAGATGAGTGAAAATCCATCTTCATCCAAAATCAACATACTCCTGTAGATGTGCCTAAAATGACGGGATTCCTAGGATTAATTAAAAATTTTGACCTGAAAATATGTTTCATAACTAATGAAATCATAGCTCCTTTCTGAATAACTTATGCTATAATATTTAATTATATAGTTTATTATTTTTATGCACGTTCCGATACAGATTTAAGCAAGTTTTTCACAACAGTTCATCAAGAGGAGTCAAATATTTTATTTTGCATTCAGATTTAAACGAAAATTTTTTTCAGAATTTTTTGATATTCTGTATTTACAATTATACGATTATATTATTGTTATACACCATTACAGAAAAAATCAAAATAATTGATAAAAGTATTTTTAATGCATTTTTTTTTAAGTTGGGCTTAGCGACGTGAAATACCCCACCTGGCGAGATCGAACTACTGCAACACCTCCCTCCAGGTGAGTTGCACTAAGCAGCATGCCATTGCATAACAGGATTAATGCATATATGATACACCTGTCGTGAAGGGTTAACAGGATTCATCTGAGAATTCACCATTGATAAATGCCAATGGACACCCTGCAGTCTGGCATGATACTCAAGCAATGATATATATATATATATATATATATAGAACAATCTGCCTGGCTCTCTCTCTATATAATAATACAGCAGAATTCAGTTGATAAAAAAGGACAGGAGCATATAACATGCAGCATTTGTAAGATCTGCAGTAATTTGTGCAGATGTAGAACTTGGTTCCTTTCATAGCAGAAGTATATGAATCATCTTGGAATTCTTAAACTAGTATTTGCTTTGAATTGTGTTATTCCTGAGGAAAATACATTATCTTAAGAACTGTAAATGAGATATTTACCATATTTACTTACTACAATGCTTATTTCAAACTAACAGCAATTCATAACTCATGTCATCTTACACAGATGTTAACATTTTCCAAAACAGCAATTAAGTGACTGTAGGTGTCAATCGGTGTACATAATCATCTGCTAATTGTATGCATTCTTCAGAAAAAAAAAAAAAAAACAGAATTTTTAAGGAACTTCCATATAATCATTTAATTATTTTCTAAACACAGCTTTAAATTTTGAATACGTGTTTAGCTTTAGATAAAATGTTTTTATAATACTTTCAAAATTTAATAATCTCTTCCTGCAATTAAGAGCTGCTGCAATTAAGAAAAATTACTGCTTACTGTACACATTCTTTTACTTAAAAAAATAACACATTTTGTATTTGCATTATCATAAATATTATGATTAGAGGAATGAATTACTAAAGCAATTAAACAGTTTCATCAGTAGAATAATACGTATTAACTGGGACTACAAGACAACACATTACACTGAGTCTTAAACTAGCTGCATGTTGAGGCAATTGAACGTACGTAAAAAGTTACAATTAAATAAATGATTCCTTTTTTTTTACTTCTTCAGTGAAGATAAGGTTAAGATGAAGTCCATAGATATGAACAGCATAGTTTACGATTAGGCTAACAATAATTCTATGAAAATGAAAACTGGACTAACAAGATGATTTCATAAGCACACCTATTTAAAAAAAAATTATGGTGATATAGTTGAGGCTGGATGTTTATTATCATGCATATTATTCAAAAGAACTTATTTAGTACAATTTTGAATTTTCAGTATACATGAGCTATGGTAACCAGATAATTTTAACGAGTTATGAATAAGTGAGCATCACAATAAAGTTAGTAAGATGCATATATTTTTTTTAATTGATTTAAAGAAGCAGTTTCTATTTGAATTACGCAGAAACCAGATACATTAATTTTTATTCAATAGTTCAAAAAATATCTTTTAGAATAATTTATAGAAAGAAAAAAAAAATTACCTGATAGAAAACGAAAGGAACTAATAGTCAAACATACCTAAAATGGACACTCTTCTCTTGGCCTGTCAGTACCATATATGGTGAGAGGCTGTTTTTAGATGTGCATGCATTTTATAAAAAAAGGTGCAACATAATTTGCAAAAGAATGCTGAATGATTTTTACCATTTCTGAACATGACAAAAATGTATATATCCCCAGTAAAGAAGAACTGAAATACATTCTCGCTTTGTAAAATCCAAGCTCAAAAAAGAAATTTTGGGTTCTTTTTAGTTAAAAAACATTTGTCTTAGTATTTTAAAACAATAGCAATTCAATAAAAACAAATTTTTAAAAATGAGAATTTCCCCCCATGATAATAATTAATTTGTTGGATATGCAGCTGATTAATTATAATACATGACAGTTATTAAATATTCTGCATTTAAGTCAGATGTGTGCTGTATCTTTAATTACGCACTCTGTCTTGAAATTAGTAAAAATTTCAATCATCAACACTTTATTGATATCACTAACATTGATGATCATCATTGTTGCTTGTTACAACTCTCTGGTTCCATGACTTGATTACTGAATATTCAGTAATTTACTCATTATTGCAAGATGAAATCTGCAGTGAGACTTATATCAAACCTTTTATTGTATGGTTTGTAGTGTCCAGGTGGGTTAACTTCTATCTGGACACAGGAGTAGCAGGAAACTACACAGAAGAAAGGTTTAAACCCTTTATTAACTCTTTAAAATTTACACTGTGTCAACTCGACGTGAACGAACTTCGCCTCTACTTGGGCGGTAACTAAAAAAGCAGGTAATTGAAAATCAAAAGTTGAAATGTTTAACAAGTGCTAAACTAACCTACAGGGCTCAGCGAGATCCCAAACCCCCTTCTAAACCTAGTGGCAGCAGATAAATGCAATTAAGCCAATTGAACCAGCAATCAGTAAAACTTACCTACGGCAGAGACGGCAGCTACAGCCCAACTCTCTAACTTCCCTTCTAAAACGTCGATATTTAAACTTTCCTCCTCAAAGTAGAATCTGCATTCTTCCGCGTGCGCGCTACCAAACTTAACTATTCTGGCACCGCCAATTAGGGGAATGAAGGCTTATAGGAAAGTCTGAACTAAAATTTAAATTATTAGTTAAAATAAATATAAATCCCTACAGGTCTATTAGTACATTTTTCCAATATTCTTTCCTTTGTATCATAAAAATGAAATTAACTATGTTTACTTGTATATTCAATCATTTACATCTTGCAATCAAATTTAGCTTGGATAGCTGCGAGCATTACATAAGCACTTAATTGAATTTCAACTTTCTAAAGTAAAAGTCATCTTAGAACTTAATTCTTCCTTAACTTGGGCAATGATTATGAATTCTTTTAAATAATACTGAAATTTATTCTTTCAGGTAAGTGAAAATACAAAATTTTGTATGTAAAATAACTTTGCAAAAGCATTAATTTTTGTAAGAGTTATTTATAAAAAAGTAAAAAAAAGGCAAAATTACCCTTTTTGTTGTATCGATAATAATCAGAATCAAACATAGGTCTACACATCCCAAAATCAGCAATTTTCACTGATCTATGCATGTTAACTAAACAGTTGCGGCAGGCAAGATCTCGGTGAACATATTTTAAATTTGCCAAGTAACTCAGACCTCGAGCAATGTCCAGAGCCATATTCGTTAATCTTCTGTCAGAAACTTCATCACTGTTGCCTCTATCAGCTTCAGACACTAAGTTGCGACGACTCAAAAGATAAGTTTTAAGATCACCTAAAAAGAGAAATATGCACCATTTGATCACTAGAGTTTATTTTAATTTTCTTTATATAGTGAGATATCATCTCAAAGGATGAATTTGTTCAACTACCAAGAACTAAAAATTTGTTAATTAGACAAAAGCATAAATACACTATTAAACACTGGCAACTTGTGGGGTACTCAAATGGAGAAAACAAATTCCAAAAATTAAAAAAGCAGATATAACATAACTTAAAAATAAAAATACCTTTGTGCCTTCATAAGTTAAAGGTAAACAATGCAACTAAAAAAAAACATGTTTTCATAGGTAAAAAAGTGTAACATTTCTTACATTTTTTTCCCTAATGGCAGATTGTGAACAGTTATAGTGTAACCCAGTCCATTAAGCTATACAAGGCCATATGTGGTGGTCTCTTTATTATGGAAGCACCTAATAGGCGAGCCCCCATCGCCTCCTATGAAGGGACGGACAGTTACAACCATGCCTTCTTCAGAATTTGAACCGAGGCCCTTCGGTATTGCAGTCAGGCTTCCCTAACCACTATACCGTCTGGGCGGCTGCATTTCTTACAATAGAATGTAAAAATATAGTCAAGTACAATTATTGTAAATTAAATCCACTCAGTCCTTTTTTTAAGCAAACAAATTAATAACACTTTCATTGAATTTAGATAAATCTTTTTTTTTTTTTTTTTTTCCAATTGAGAACATAGCTAGAGATCTTACTGTGTCCTTGTTCATACTGCTTCTTAAAAATGTCTTGTTTTAAAGTTAAGAAGCATCTCTCCGAAAACATATTCTGCAAGTTGTTTTTATAATACAAAGGTCTCAAAATGACTGCACATGTGGAGTAAATAGGTATAGTCAATGGAAGCATAGGCAGAGAAAATTACATAATTTTATTCCCATTACGACATTGAATTAATACGTATTTTGACAGCAGGAACATTAACTCAATGCACAGTTGGGCAAGGGGTACATATGTAATTACACATGAAAAATAAGACTAGTACATGCCCTAGCTATACAAATGTATGGCATCTTACACCTAACGTTGCACAAGTCAGAGACCAATGAGCTTCTCAATGACATAGCTGATTTTTGCTTGCAAAAGAATGTTTATGAGAAAATAGACGAGTCTTCATTAAAACACTTGAAATGGTGAGATCTAGTAAAGAAGAAAATGTAGCAGTCATGTATCAGGCTATTTGGCTAAGACCACATGTCAGAAAAATTCAGGGAAGGGCCCGTGTCTGTTGAAAAGCAGGCAATTATGTGATTACAGACAAGTTTATTTTAGTTTGCTGAAATGTAAATGCAGAGAGTGCATCTCCTTTACTGACATTTCTACTATACTTTTGTTAAGATGCTATTACTGCCTTTTAAGGAAAGCTTTAGACCATGGATTTTACAATTTCTGCTCCTTTATTAATTACATTTTCTTCAGCTAAGATGTTTGCTAGTTTATTTCCTGTAGATCCAGTATCTTTTCTTGACCCTAAAGATGCAAAACTGCATTGTAGTGTTAGGCAGGGAAATTTAATTAAAAAGAATTATGATGTGTATACCACATGACTTCCTTGTACGGAATATTAACCTCTCGAAGCCGGCTGGTACAGCAGTTGTACCAGGAGAATGACTTTCTCAGACGCCGGCATTGGTACAACTGTCGTACCATCCATGCCATCCCCATTTTAGAGAATCGCCTATCTGTAGATCTTTGGGTGGTCCATTGTCGCTGCTCAGAGTAGCCGCTGGCTACGCATTATTTCCCTCTTCTTATCAGTTTGGCTACATTTTGGCAAAAACCGCAGGTTTTGTCTCGTGCCAATATACTTGAAAATTAAATAGAGGCCATCTCTTTCTCAATCTGTCTCATAATTTTAATGCTAAGTTTTTTAGTACTGACTTTTGCTATGATTAAAACGTCAGTGACTTTGCACGCTCTTTAAGCTTACCATATTTAATATTTTTTAATCATAACAAATAAGAATAGATTAATATTTTAGATTTAATGCCCTTCTCTAGAAAAAAAAACCGCTTTTATCGAAATTTTATCGTTTACTTCCTTTTCACACTTATGAATAATAAGATTTTATTTTGACATTTTTTTGTGGAGTGCATAAAACCCTTAAGAACTGTTAACTCTTTCAAAGTGCTTCTATTATGCAGGCAATTTTGTCTGATTTATCAGGAGGTAAATAAGAGACAATTGTATGCATAATAGTTTTTGTGATTTTCATTCATTCAATGATTGCTTTCAATGATTTTCATTGGTTGTAAATTAAATAAAATAAATTTATCTTTAGACCCTCTTTTAGGATGAGATCTGCCAAAAAGTATTTAAATATCAGTAAAGCTCATGTTACTTCTAAATTGAATCAAAACATCAGTTACATTTTATAAAATTTCGGCCAGTTTTATTTGCTGAAATTCTTATACTCCTCAAGAGATAAAGGGAATTCAGACAAGTTAATAAAAAAAAAATATCTTTAAAAAAGGTTGTTATTTTGTCTGTAATAAGGTGTATGTCAACTTACTATTAAATGTATGAAAATTAGGATTGGATTACGGAAAAGCACGCGAACGCTATCTGCTTAAGGGGATGGATGCTTTCGTGTAAACCTTTTTAAGAGAAAATTGCTCGCATTTACGTTCCTAGTGGAAAACACATGTAATCAACCCGTTCTTCGGTATTGATTGGATTAATTTTGTTCGCTTACTGAATTACATCAAAGCACACAACAATTACCTGTATAAGTGGAGTTATGCCTTCGCGGAGGACTTTCTAAGAGAAGCTGGCTTGCATTTACGTTACACAAAAACCGTGAATCCAACTTTTTATCCAGGATTCAAACCCAAGCCAGCTACAAGTGTTCAGCCACCTTTACCGCTCTACTGAAGAGCCCGTAAAAATATTGATAAAGGAAAAGTATTGAAATAACCGGTTTAATTTACTAACCTATATTTCTCAATCAACAGTACATAAATTACGCATATGAGGGGGATTATTTGTGAATAAATAAACTGTATTGCACTTTTTCTTTTCTCCACTATTTCATATTACGATGGAATTATTTTCATTTCAAAGTTATTTCTCATGAATTAATTTTGTTCTTCATGATTTTTGATATTTTCAAAGAGAAAATTCCACACTTTAAAAAATAAAAAATACACGAGAAGATACTTTATGCAAAATTTGGCGTAAACGGTTTTCTTAATTTTGCTTTGAAAATATTCCAGGGTAATCGTTTTCATTACTGGAAGAAATATAAAATCCAAATTTACTACATTGTGTCAACACCCAATATTTCCTTATTCTTTTGAAAACGTGAAAGATTACTCTTTCTAAAATAAATTAGAAAATATATTACGTGCAAATAGAATATTCGTTGAAAATGAAATAGACTTCAACTTTTGGATATAATGATGGTTTTAGACGAAATTTCTACCTATGAAAAGAAATTGACGTATAATTAATTCTTCATGAACATTTAAAACTGTTCTCAAAATTCTTTTGATGATTGCATGTATAAGTCACGGATTTTTTTCTCTGCTAAGATAAACAAAAGCCAATTTTACAAGGAAAAATTCTCGTTAAAGATATACCTTCTTTGCCTGATAGTCCATGTAATATTTGTTAAATGATTAAACGCAACCAATGTATCTCGGATTTTGATTTTTATATTATAATAACAAAATTATCAAAAGAAAAAAAACAGATTTAAATCTCTGTTATTGTTATGTAAAGCTTTATTATTGCTGTAAGTTCATCTCAAAATCTAATTGTATTGAATCTCATTCTAATCATCTAATGGTAATAAATATTTATATTATTATTTTTCATTAAATTAGTCATTACCATTATTTTATTAATGAAAATATGTTATTAAAAAAAAATCTCATTCCAGCCTGCAGGCTTACAAATCTAGTCCGTATTTACTATATTTTGTTAAATTTTTGTTCTCGCTTTCTAATTTCTAATACGAAAAATACGCGAATATAAACGAAGAGTGAAAACAAAGTTAAAAAAAAATTCACTAATTATTTACGAGATTGATTAGAAATAGTGAGTGAAATATAAACATTGCATACATTTTGTTCTAAAATAAGTGTGCACTGGATATGCATCCAGTACTGCACATATTTATTTTATGCACTATTATTTAGAACTTCATTTAAAATGAAAGCAAATAATCATCGAAAAAATCAATCGAAAAAATTGCAAATCTAGCAACCCCTCTACTATGGGATGTAAGCGTCCGACAAACATGTAAATTTTACTTCATCCATGGAGGGGAACTAACGACTTTTCGCATTAGGAAAATGTCAAAGAGGGGGCAAAACTGTTTCGGATCGCGCCAGTCTGAAGGCTATATTATGAGAATTTCGGCCCGGTTTTAGAAGGTTAAATTGTATACATTTTTTCCTGCATTTTATTAAAACTTATTGAATTAAATCTACTTTGTTGATAGCGCATAAACCAGAATAGAATAAATGTACTCTTTAAAATTCACTATATTTACCATAGCGACACTCTGGCACTATGTTCACTTAACAGCATTACATCTCATTCATTTTATAACTCAAAATGCAAAAAAACTATATCATCTGAAGAATTATCTAATCGTTGCCACATGCTTGGTTCAAATATTATAATAAATCTAAAACAATGCATAAAAGAAATTAAAAAAATAAAAAAAGAAACAGTTTTTCACAGACGATTCAGCGCGCATCTAATCTCAATGGCAATAAAAGAAAGCAGTTTTTCACAGCATTGCCACTCTTAGCGCGTACATTACTCGGAAACATTCCTTATCCAAAAGAGAGAGACTGGCAACAATATTTTCAGCTAATACAAAACACTTACTTCTCAAAAAAATAGAGAGCCACCAATTAATTCAGTTCCATTCGTGGCAAGGCAAAAAAAAGACATAAAACTCAAAATATATTCATTAAAAATTGAAAGATATAGAAAAACATAAAACACTAAATACAGTTAAAACAAATTA